TCTCTCTCTCTCTCTCTCTCTCTCTCTCTCTCTCTCTCTCTCTCTCTTTCTCTCTCTCTCCCTCTCTCTGCAATAAAAAAAATGTTTGCTGAAATGATGGGTACGCAACTGCGTATCTGCATATCTGCGCCTAACAAAGGTGTCACTACGCACGACTTAAATGTTACGTTCATAACCGTAGCAACAGACCTCAGATGAGCCCAGACGCTCTGCGGCTCTTGTTGTTGATGAAGTGTCTACGAACCTGGAACTAGAATAGACATATAATCCTATCACCATGAACCTTTTTACTCGTTCTGCTGGCTTTGCTGTGTTTACTAGTGGAACTTGCACGCACATCACAGTTTCATATTTATTACAAACTGATGGAAATGCATGAATAGATGGCTAGTCATCAATCATCAATACTATCCCAACAAAGCTTTGGAAATAGACCCCCCACGTGTACATCAGTCGTTGATACCAACAATATAGGTTTAGAAATTAGAGTAGGTCTAGCTATATATAGTAGCTACCTGCTTTTGCATCCCATCAGCACCGCGAATGGGGGAAAGCGTCGTTTTCATGACATCTAGGATTTATTTTGATATCATTGCTCAAAAACGCACAATCTGAAAAAAATATAGTGAAATATAGTCTCACCTAATAGCAGATATAATACTGATTACACCAACTTGAAAAACACTAAGAATTTATGCTGTTATAGCATAGAAAATTGCAATTGAATGCACCGTAACACCACTGCGGTGTGTGTAGAGATTACTCACAATGCCATGTTCTATTTACAGGTCAGAATGCGTGTGAGAGAAAGTCGTTTCTGTTTCTGCGCAAGGAGTTGCCCGTGCGGCTAGCCAACATCATGAAAGAAATCAGCCTTCTACCAGAGAACCTGCAGCACATGCCATCTGTAGAGATGGTGCAGAGCTGGTATGTGACAAGCCGTAGTTCGTAACGTGTAACACGTTCAGCCTGGATGTTATCATCGCAAAAATATTTAGAGATTAAAAATGATTCGCCCTATAAAACAACAGGATTTTGGTAGGAATAACTGACTTTTGTTGTTCACTCCAGTGGTTCAAAGTCCCCTCATTTGAGTAATCAATATTATCTTGGTGTGGACAAGCTGGGCCAGTCACCCCTGGCGCATCTAAAGTAGTGACTGCAAACATGTTATTGCATGTATACAACACAGGCATAGCAATGCTGAGAGGGTCTATGTCCCCCAGGGTAATGCCGGAACTCTCTAACCCAGGGGTGGGCAAACTACGGCCCGCGGGCCAGATGCGGCCCGCCACGTTACTTTCAGTGGCCCGCCAACACTTCTCCATTAAAAAAAAAATCTGAAAATCCTCCAAAACTTGAAACGAGACTAGCTTCAACAGTGTCGGATAAATCTTAGTACCACGCAAAAGCGGTATCACCGGCCGCTCTCCACTGCGCATGCTCACTAGAGCGGTGCGCATGTGCAGAGTCAACATCTGGTTCTATTTTTCCCAGCTACAGTAGTAAATCAGAGCAGAGCAAACGACACGCATGCGCAGAGCCCACTTCTGGTTCCGTTTTATACAGTGGTAGTAATTTTTTACAGCAGCAACAACAAACATGGGTAGTATGTGTAAGAACAGAAAGATTGATCAAGAATGTCGGGCATTTAAAGAGGAATGGACAACAAATTACTTTTT